GGTGGCCAGGGCATAGCTAGAGTGGCCCTGGGCCAAGCTGCAAAGGTTTCTATACAAAATGACCAGATGGTGGCTTCAATACCCATTGGGGCCAGGACTGGGTCATCATGGGAAAAGTGTGTCCAGGACAAAAGGAGTAATGAAGATGAAGAGTTAGGGTGATATACAGGTAACATTAGCTCTGATATAAGGAAACAAGGGAGAACAAATCACCCATATGCAGAAGCAGCTGTGCAGTGACTTTCTCTGTGCTCTGGACTCAAAACCAAAATATTTGTAACTGTACAACTGGCTTGAGTTTAATTAGAGGATATTTACAAGGAAATATGAAGTTCCTATTGTCAGAATCAGTTGTAAACTGACTCATAATGGAGCCAAGTTATTTAGTTATTTTTTTCTGTTTCATGCTTGACTAGTCCAAACCTGATCAACCCAAGGCCAGTGCATAGCCAAAAACTTCATCCCTGGCTGTCTCTCAACAAGATGTTGGTCAAATCAAGGCCCTTGTCTTCCTGTCATTTTAAAGTACATATTCCATTAGCAGAGGGTCAGTGATTTCATGGTCTCTTAGAAAACGCACTACATTATTGGAGAATTTACTTTCAGTAGATGTGTTATCTTCATAAGATTTTATTTTAAAATCCTAAATACTTAAAAATACCTGTTTTACTTCTATTGTCTGAGATGAGTCTTTTAAGGAGTAACAGACACCATAATAAAAGCTAGCGTGATTTTCATTGTCAATAAAAAGGTATTTGCGCAAAGTGCTGCTTTTTCCTCAGGAAGCACTTGCGTACAGCATTGCTTAGCAACACTGAAATCAGCCCTGACACCTTATTCATCTTTAATATTCAGGTTCAAATCAAGTCTTTCTAGAGATGGGACGGATTGAGTCTTTTAAACCAAGCAAGTAAAAGTTGTCACTTTGCAATTTTCATCTGAAGTCGGGCAGCAGTATCTGAGTTTTCATTTTATAACTTATTTTGGAGTTGGATTTTTTTCAATTTAGCCTCTTAGGTCCTTATTCTCTATCTCTGTTCCCACTTCATGGATTTTATTCCTCAGGATGCTTATAGGATCTTCCCTTTATTCAGGGATCAAATTTAACATTTCTTAACATGGCATTATGGCTGATATCCCCTACCTCAGCCAAATTAGACAACCTGGTTCCCCCAACATGCTGTTTTTTATACCACCATTTCTCCAGCCTATGCACATTGTTTTTTTTGCTTTGGGAATACTGTTTTCTGGCTAAGTGTTGCTTATCTTTTCAGAACAGTCAAGCATCAGGCTAGACTTGAACTTGCTATGTAACCCAGGCTGACCTTAAACTCATTATCCTCCTGCCTCAGCATTTTGAGTACTGGGATTACCAGTGTGTGCTACCACACCCAGTGACTTTTGTTTTTTTGGTACTGGGGATTGAACTTGGGTCTTTGCACTTGCGCAGCAGGTGGCGAAACCACTGAGCTAAATCCCCAGCCCCAGTGACTTTTTATTTTAATAAGTAGAAGTACCACCTCTAAAGTATTGATAGAAGTATAGTAAATGCATAAACCAATAAGGTGATCATTTATTATTAAGTATTATGTACTATACATAATTGTATGTGCTATGATTTTATATGACTGGTGGCACAGCATTATCACAAGCACGTGAATAGCACGTTGCCCTGTCATATTACTACAATGATCATGTCAGTAGTCAATAGGAAATTTTAGCTCCATTATAGTCTTATGGAACTGTCCGCATATGTGTGGTCTGTCAGTGACTGAAACATCCCTTGTGTGATACAGACTTGTATTTCTAAATTCTTAGGGTGTTTCTCTCTTATTCCTTCAGATTGAGTTGGGGCCTCTTCTGCTAGGATCCTATGTGAATCTTGGGCATAGGGGTGGATTTCATTTGTTTATTTTTTTCATACTACTGAGAAATTCTTGAAGGTCAAGGATTCAATCTTTTGTGCTTATATCCGTATCCTTACTGTATCTTTAATTTACCTGAATTTTTTGGTATGTGTGATAAAATTAGATCTCCTCTTCTTGTAGTAGTAGTTCTTTATTACTGGGAGTTTTGACTTAGAGGCTTAGCTTAAAGGCCTGAGACATTTGTGCATTAATTAATAGTTTTCTCTTGGACTGTTCTTTCTCTGGCAAGGACCATGCTATTTGTTTGCTTCTTTTAGGAGACCCTAAAATTGAAGCATCAGATCATGAGTTATACCAGATATTGGCAGGAAGTAGAGGCTGGAATATGAAAAAGAAATGAAAGCAAAAATCTATGAGAGGCTGTCCCATGAACATTTGCACAAGAAAAATGTTAAGAGCTTGTTTTGAATTCATATTTTTATAGCTTAGAAAAATTAACTGTGACTTAGTCAAAGTAAGCCAATCTCACCAATTTATACTTGGAAATATACTGAAAGGTTTTTAAACTGCTTTGAATTTTAGAACAGCTTTAGAAAGTATAATAGGCCTTATATGTAGACAAAAGATTTACATCTTCAACCTCTAAATTGTCTGTCTGAGAAGTCATTATTTTGGAGGGTGGTTATGTGGTGGTACTGGGGGGGCACTCAGGGTCTTCATGCGGAGCTACACCCCCATCCCTTTTTATTTTGAGACAGGGTCTTGCTAAGTCGATAAATTATCTAGGTGGGGTTTGAACTTGGGGTCCTTCTGCCATGGTCTCCCAGAATACTGGAATTACACATAGCTTGAGAAATCAAATTTATTTTCCTTTTCTCCTTGTTTTATTTTTAAAGAATCAAAAATGAGCAAAAAGGAAAAGGAAATTATTACCTTGTACAGTACTTGAAAGTGGGATGGAGTAATTTAAGAAAGGAAGTCTGCCAGCTGTTTAGTCCCATACTATGCATTTAAACTTTTTGCAGTAATTCTATTCTCTGAACATGCTTTGTAAGCACTGTTGTTAAAAATATGTAGTGATATGTTCACTGCCATCTTTTATAATAATTTTAAAGATTCCTTTTGATACCTAGCTAGCTTCGTTCTCGTTTGATCTTTATTTTTTTGTTTGTTTTTTGCTTAAATTCTTTTATTGGTACATTTTAGGTATACAATACATTTACATTTATCATTGGGTACTTGTACCTGTACATGATGTATCTTGGTTCTTATTTTTTCCCCATTCCCTGTGCTCCCTTCACCCCCTCACCCTTCCCTATTTACAAAGACTTTGTTTCCATTTTTTCCTTTTCTCATAATTTTTCCTTTCCCTTCTTTCCTTTCCTCTTCCCCTCCTATTTTGTTTTTTTGTAAAGATAACTTTTTTGTTTTGTACAAAAATGAATTATTTTTTTCCTAAAGTCAAATAGTGTAGACATTATTTAGTAGACAGAATTTTCCTTATCACCATTCTCAGGAGTAACTAGTTAACATTTTGGTATGTGTTCATCCAGATATGTGAACTTTGTTTAAGCACTGCAACATTTTCCCCCACAAATGGGGTCACACTTTCTATACTCTGTCACTTGTATTTTTCACTCATTAATACTTTATTTCATGGACATTCTTTTGCATAGGTCTGTCACAGGTTTTTAAGCAGCTCTGTGATATTTCATACAGTGAGTCTACTATTATTTAATAAGCTGGGGTTTTTTACTAGAGTATCTCTAGTATTTTGCTATTACAAATAATTCTTCAATAAACATTTTTGTATCTTATATACAGTGTGTATTTTTGTAGGATGATACCTAAATGTGCATGGTTGGAGATATTATAAGTGTAAAATTTGGCTCAGATTTAAAGATTAACTAGTTCCTTCAATACTTTCAACAATATTTAACCATAATGATAACTCTGATTTCAGCATGAACTTTATTTAAAAAGATAGATTCCTTTACTAAAGGGCCATGAAACACTCAGGGAGGGGTTTTAAAATTGCTTTTCTCCTCAGGTTACAAACCTGAATTGTATGTGATATGTAAAGCCTTTGAGACAAAATATGACTTGGTCTGCATGTGCTTTGAAAAAAGAAATATTTTTATTCATGGAATCTCTTTGATAATACTGTTATTTCATTGGATGTTGATATTTCTTGTGATGAACCACAGTGTGCTTATTTTAATTCTAGTTTGTACAGTAGAGTATAGAATGGAAATAAAACTGTTTTATGGCATAATTTACCTTTATAGAAATGCATGAAGGTGGCTCTATAAATAAAAATAGAAGCCCTAGACTGTTGCTTTGTGGACATATTTTAAGTTCTCTTTTGAGAGTCTTGAAAATGTCTGCATTGTGCCTTGTTGAATAAAGGGAAACTTATGGTTGATGTAATCGAGGCAGTAAACCTGCTTTTAGATTCTAAGAGTGGGTTTTTAAAGTCATGCTTTGAGGGTCTTTCCTGGTGCTCCACACAAGTAGGTATTTAGTGCTTTTTGAATATTATCTCCATTTAAGTCAAGTTCTTTCACCTATGTTTTCAAGTCTAGTTCGTTCCAGTTGTTTTTATAGACATATCAAATTGCTACTTAAAAACTGTCTTATAGATTTCAGATTCATATTTAAAAGACAAATGGGCTCACAGTCTTTATTGTAAGCCCTCATTAGTTAAACCATGCATGGCAATATAGACAAATGTTGGAAGGTGGATATTTGTGTTTAGTATAGAATTTAAGCTTTTTCAGCTTTTTATTTTATTTTACTTTATTTTTTGACAGTGGAACCCAAGGCCTCATTTATGCTAGCCAAACACTACCACTGAGCTGCCTCCCTCCTATTTTATTTATTTTTAATACAATTTTATTTTCTTTATTCTAAGATTTCATATTCTGTATAGTCTGATTGGTAAATATTTTTCTACCAGTCTTTTTCAAGAGATTCTATTTTTGAGATGATACTAGCTTATTTTATTATTATTTTTTTCAGTACTGGGGATCAAACTCAGGACCTTGCACTTGCGAGGCAGGCAGCAGCACTGCTGAGCTAAATCCCCAGCCTGTAGCTTATTTTAAAGATGATTTTTTTTTTCTTTTACAGAAAACAAGCATCGTTGTGGGTCCAAGGAGACATTTTCCGATCCAAACTGAAAAACAGACCATCCAGTGAAGGAAGTATTAATAAAATTCTTTCTAGCTTGGATGATATGTCTATTGGAGGAAACATATCTAAAATCCAAAACATGGAAAGGTTTGGAGAGGTGAGTTTTCCTCAGGAATACTGTAACCTTCTTCATTCGTTTTGCAGTTGACTCATGTAACATGGCAGTATCTTTTCTCTAAGATGCTGAGAGGACCAGATTTTGAGGTGTGGAGTCATCCACCTATAAAGCAAAAAGCAGAGCAGAGAAATTAGTTGCCCTTAAAAAGAAAAAAAAAGTTGTAATTTAAGGAGTGCAATTAAATTTTGATATGATGAATATTTACAGAAAGGAAACTCTACTTTGAAAATAGAAACATCAAGAAAAATTTTAATGTTATGATTGCAGTAGCACATAATGAAGTAGTAAGCGATTCTTTGCAAGCCTCCAATTCATGCTGATTTCTAAAGTAATGCAGAGTTGAAAACATAATTAAGGACAACTTGGCTTTTTTTGGAGGTTTTACTACAAACAAACCATTTGAAATAATTGTTTTATGTGGTTTGTTTTAATCTTTGTAACTCCCTGGGCAGTTAGGTAATATTTCCTCTATTTTATACAAAGAACTGTGTAGCAGAGATGTTCTAACCTCAGTGTTAAAACATGAGTCAGTGTCTGTCTGTCTGAACCCAAACTTATGTTTTTGTTTTTGTTTTTTCTTTTTTATTCCAATACCTCTGAAGTAACAGGAGGTAACTGAGTATTTTTGGAACCAGAAGCAAGCTTGTTATCATTTGTTCTATGCCTTTTCTTGTATGGATAAGATACCAGGGGCCCAGAAAATTTGATTTACCCAAGTTCCCAGAATTGTTTGGTAGTGGTGTTACTTCAGGAACTGGGCATCCAGTTCCTAGTTCAGCTCTTTGTTTCATCCTGTACCTGGGGTGAAGCTAAGCACTTGGTTCATATTTTTATATACCTTAAAGCAGAAGAAAGAGAAAAAAAGCTGTTAAAAAAATTAGGCAACAAATATAGATTTACATGCTATCATTGACCCATTACAACCAGACTCTTGGCCCTTGATCAAAATGCTGTGGCTCAACCATAGCCCTCAAGGAACCCAAGTGGAAGAGATGACCTGGCTCTCTTAGGTCACCACTTGGTGTCCCAAAAGATTTCTCTTAGCAGTGAAGAGAGTCAAAGCACTTGGAGTTGGGCAGGGTTAGTTTTCTTCAAGGACAAAAGGTGGAGCCCACTGAAAGAACTGAATTTTTAGTCCTGTGTATGTTCTCCAGGACAGCAACTGACAAAGTGGCAAAGTTGTCTTGTTTGAGTCATTTGTCCTGATGAAATGTAAATCTCAGCCAAGGTTATGTTGATGTTCAAAGTGTTTGTTGACTTTTTCTTGTCTCTGTGTTACAATCTGGCCTATTAAAAGCCAACAGAAAGGATCTGAACTAGTATTTTAATATGATGGTATTGCTAAATAGGAACACTTTTTTCTTGCTCTCGTCAACGTTGTACCCCAGGTTGAGGTGAAGCATATAGGGCTTTGAGTTGTGATCTCTGAAAAGACAAACATAAAATTTATCCTTCTGTCTGAGGAACATACTTAGCTCACGAGAATATAATGGTTTCTATGTTATAATCTGTATTAGATTGATATCTGGTAGTTGGAATATTCCATTCTTATCCTTTTTTAGACTCTTTTTAGTTTTGCTGAACTTAAATAATTGATTCCTTTTTTAAAAAAGATTAGTCTTTTGTCCTTAGCTCAACATTTTATCTTTATTTTATTTTATTAAAAAAAATTTTTTTCTGGTACCAGGGATTGATCTCTGGTCCTTGTGCTTGCCAGGCAGGTGGTGGAACCATTGAGCTAAATCCCCAGCCCCTAAATAATTGATTCTTATTACTGGAAGAGTAAGAAATGTAATATGATTGAAATTTTAAATATTTCAGTTTTAAATATAAGCATATATTTACATGTTAACTCTTTCTACTACTTCCACCCACATCCTATCATAGTCCACTCCAGCTACTGCAACAAAATACATAAATTAGGTGGCCTATAAACAGCAGAACTGTATTTCTTATACTTCTGGAGGCTGGGAAATCCAAGATGAGGATGCTGGCAGATTCGGGGTGCTCATCCCAGGCTCCTAGGACAGAGAAGCTCAGTGGGTCCCAGCACCCAGAAGGATGCTCCCCGCCTCCATGCCAGGCTCCTAGGGCAGAGAAGCTCAGCTGGTCCCAGCACCCGAAAGGAAGCTACCCCGCTGCTATCCCAGGCTCCTAGGGCAGAGAAAGTGACCTGCGTGGGTGCCAGAAGCACCCTCTCCTGTGGAAATGAGAAGACACGTAAACAAATTTCAAAAACAGACTTCTGGATCACCTACAGCAACCCCAAAGGGAAACGAGATGGAACAATCTGAGACTCAACCACCTGGACTCTCTGAACTGGCAACAAAAGAGACTCTCTGAACTGGCACCTCTCTGAACTGGAAACAAAACTGGGAAAAATGAAATCAGAAATAATTATTCAGATAACAGCAAAGATTTTGGTCATGGTGCAAGACATGATTAATAAATCTAGAGAGGACACAGATTAAAAAAATAGAGGATCTGAGGAACATGATGGAATCCTAACATAGGAAACAAATGGAATCCATAAAACACATTTCCAAGAGATTAAAAACTCCATGGAAAGTCTGCGCAGCAGAATGAACCAATGTGAGGATAGAATTTCACATATAGAAGATAAGATTGCAATTAGTGACCAGGAAAAGAAAAATTGCTTTAAAATTGTAAGGAAACACGAGAAATCAATCCAACAGCTGCTAGACGATGCAAAGAAGAATAACATAAGACTGATTGGAGTCAATGAAGAAAGAGGAGAGAGTGCAGATGACATAAAAAAACTGTTCACAGAAGTGATGGCAGAAAACTTCCCAAGCAGGGGAAAAGAACTTGACATACAGATAAGTGAGGCATGTAGGACTCCAGCTAGCCTTAATCAAAAAAAATCTACACATAGGCATATAATAGTTAGGATTCCAGAGATTCGGGGTGCTTGTTGTTAATAGATTCTCCCTATCTCCTCGCATAGTGAAGGGGAGGAATCCTATTATGAGTTCCCTGCTTCAGGATCTAATCACCCACAATGGTCCTACCTCTTACTATCATCACCATAGGGCTTCCAATTTCAACATATGAATTTTGGGAGGTTTTTGATGGGTAACATCATACTCTACCAAATATTTTAGCTTTTAGCTATTAATAAATGCTGTTGTTTCCACCGTATAGGTAGTTGATGTTTTGTGTGAGTAACTTTCAAATTCTTTTCTTTCCATGCTTGTCTGGTGCCAGCTGTGGAACACTGCATAGATAGGGGAAATTAGTTTACTCAAAAGTCGACTCAATAGAGTTAGTTAGAATAACTATTACTATTACTATTCTTGTAAATTGTAAGAAAAAAATAAATGATGAATACTGTAAGGATTTTCTGTTCCAAGCTCTGTACTAGTGTAATAATGAGAAATCTTAAAATATGGAGGCTTTCCCTTTATTGAGCTCGGTCCTAAGTACAGGTGTAGGCCCTACGAAATATACACAGCCCCTGGTGTATTTAGCTTAGGCTCCCTGGTCCACACTTCTGCCTTGCTCTGTGCTTTTCCTCCATGGTCTTATTTTTCCTTGTCTGCTAGGTGATATGCTTTAGAATAGTAGAAATTTTTATCTGTTCTCATCATGATCCTATTCCTGGGCCTTAATAGATATTGAATGAATTAAGGAGGCTTACAGTTTGAGCAAAAGAAAAGAAGAAAAAAAACAAAAAAATGACAAAAACACAAAATTGGTCATAATGTAGTTTCACAAGGACAGTATATGCTTAGTACAAAATAGTACCAGCATTAAGCTCATTTTGACATTCAGGGGCTTGAAGGTCTACTGTGGATGAAAAATGGCCTGAAGGAGATGGAATTTAAAGCATTTTATTTAAAGTCCACATATTGGAGTTAAACAAGGATCTTGGTGTGTGTGTGACAACAGCCGCCTAGCACCTACTGTGCTCTAGGAACTGTACTAAGAACTTGACATGGATTAAGTCCTTTAATCCTTCTGATATCTGTATGCCATGGGCACTAGTGTGAAGTCTATTTAGAGACAACATAACTGAGGTAGAGAAATGTGAGCCAACTATCCAAGATTGTATAGTATGGGGCCGGGGATTTAGCTCAGTGGCCCCATGCCTGCCTCTTAAGCACAAGGTTGCGAGTTCAATCTGATACCAAAAACAAAAAAATATCGTATAGTATGTGGCAGAGACGTCATTTGAACCCAGGCACGCTGGCTTTGACTTGAGTCTGTGTGCTCAGCTATCCTACCAGGGCCCACTGCCTCTCCATGAGATCTTCAGTGTGGCTTTAGTCCATTATATCCAGTAATTTTGAACAAAATATTAGCCAGATCCTTCTAATAAATTTCTCCCATAATTAAAATAGTTTTTACTTTTTCTACTCTATGGCTATATTCCAATATTAGCACGCCAATCAGTAGAGGCTCTTGACTTAGAGATATAAATTAGACACAGATGCTGCTAATGTTCAGCCAAGTTCACATAAATTGACAGCCAGGTAGAAAAGAATATAGTGTTTTGATTATATCTTTGAGATATTGTGATTTATAAAATCCATCAAACATTTATAACCAGGGTACATCTCAGAAGAATCTATGACGTAAAATTAAATTTCTAAGGCCCTACTTCTAAGCACCTTTTCCCCCTCTTAGGCCCAGGAATGCCACAGGGAGCCACCAGAGGCTGTTAAACATGGAAATGACAGCACACAAATTCCCAGTTTGGGGAGGAGGGGCCTGGCTGTAGTCTGGGGGTGCTGGAGTCCACATGGGGCTCGGGTGAGAGGCCAGGGAGGTGATGGGGAAGTGACCCAGGTTTTTAAGTTCCTGGCCAATGACAATGAGAAGGTGGGGGTGGGGTGATAAATCCTAACTCTCTGTTGATCTGACGTAGATTGTTAGAGAGATATTTTCCTTGCCTTTCCCCAACTTTGACATCTTATAGGTTCAACATCTGAGAGCTGAAAAGAGCTTTAGTGGTCACTAACCCCCTTTCATAGCCAAATCACTTAAGTCAGCTGAAAGTTTAATTTTGACCTCTATCTCCCAACCCTGTGAATTCTATTTTTACTCATTTGTATTTCAAACTGTGTCATTTTTTTCTGTGATCCCTCTTCCATTTTTATCTCTCAAGTTCTATATTTTATCTAATAGATCTTTTCATTCCTTGTGTGTAGTTGGTACATATACATCTCAATTCTTTTCATTCTCTTTCCCTCTCCTGCCTCTTCTCTCCCTCCATCTCTTCATTCCCTTCCCATTTGAGAAAAAGTCTATCTCCCTACTTCCTATTATCTTTTATTTTGCTCTTATAATTCAGGTTTCTCATATAAGAGAAACCATGTGATATTTAAGCTTGCGTGTCTGATTTATTTCACTTATCATTATTATCTCAAGGTGCATCCATTTTCTTATATCTGTCTCAAGTTTTATCTTTATGGCAGAGTAGTACTCCATTGTGTATAAATATGACTTTTTTTTTTTTTTTTTTTGGTACCGGGGGTCGAACTCGGGACCTTGTGCTTGCGAGGCAGGCGCCGGAACCACTGAGCTAAATCCTCAGCTCCAAATATGACATTTTTAATCCATTCATCTATTGATGGACATGTACACTGCTTCTAAGATTTAGCCTTTATGAATTGTGCCTTTATAAACATGAGTATGCATGTGACACTGTAATATGATGACACTAGCTCTTTTGGGAAGATATTTAAAAGATGACTAACTGGATCAGATGGAATTTCTAGTTTCAGCTTTTTGAGGAATCTCCGTACTGATTTCCAGTCTAGAAGGGTTCCTCCCCTTCACCAGCATTTGTTATTATTTGATTTTTGCCCAGCAAAAGAAACAACCAACAAAGCAAAATGACAATCAACAAAATGATTTAAAAAATTTTCCAGCTATTCCTCAGAGGAATAATATCTAGAATATATAAAGAACTCAAAAAATTAGACCCCCCCAAAATAAAAGACCCAATCAAGAAACAGGCAAGTGAAATGGATATTTCAAAGAAGTACAAATGGCCAATAAGTAAATGCAGAAAATGTTCAACATTTCTGGCCATTAGAAAAATACAAATTAAGACAACACTGAGATTCCATCTTACCCCAGAAAGGGTGGCCATCACGAAGAAATCTTAGAGATCTTTTCCTCATGACACATTCTACCTCTCCAGTAGGTTTTCTTGTCATTATTTTATTGATCAGCAATTCCTTTTTTCAACTGAAATCTGTGGATACAATATATTTTATTTTTGTTTTCAGCTTGTCTATGTAGAAAGAACAATGGTAGAATAAAATAATGCTTTATTCTTTACATTATTATTCTTTAGCAATACCATCATCTGTAAATAAGTGTATCTTTAAAATTTTTACTTCTTTAGGTATTTTAATTTGCTGTGTTTTTCTTGCCTTTATACTGGATAATCTTATATCTGAAGGAAAGATTTTTAATTCTTCACTTGATCTTAGCCAAAAGGCTGAGAAGCGATTAAGATTTTTAATTCTTAGACCTCCATAGGGAGAGCAGACCCTTTATCTGGGGGGACAAAGTTGGAAGGTCTCTCCTTGGCAAGGCTTCTTTATCCTTGCTCTCTAGTCACCTGGCTTTGTTTCCGAATCTGCTTCTTCCTGACCAGCTCAGACCCAGAGAGAGTCTGCCCTGTTATTCTGTAGGGACAAGGGCGGAACCCCAGGTTAGGTTCTCCACATTTGTTATTTGTGAATGGAAACATTAGTCATCATGAGGATGGAAGTTGGTATAAAGAAGGAAATCCAATAGCACCCAATGAGAGAAGTCTTCAGACTTCCCTGGTGCAACAATTCATGAGATTGACTTGTGCCTCATAATATATTTTCTAATGAACTTTTTCTCCCCCACAAACTCTTGTGACTTGGTATATACAGTATTTTAGGGTCGATCCCCTAATAAATACAGGGCTTGGTTCTATGCATATCTTTATGTTTTATTCAGTGTCCCAGGAGGCCAAAATCTTTTTCCATATAGCTTTTCAATTTCATTTTTTCACTAACTTGATGTAAATGTGTTTTGAATAACATTGTATAATTATTTTTGTCAAGAATTTGAAGGGAATTGATCACTTACTTACAATCTTATGGTTTATACTGTTAGTCCTACAAATACCCAGAATTTCGTACAATAGCTACAGAAACAAACTAAGGACAGATTGATTTAGATAAATAATAACATTCTAGTAGATTCCTTCATATCTACACTGTATGTCTGTATATTTTCCTCTTTTTCTTCCCCCTTCCTTAAGTTCTGACATTTTGGGAGTTTCCCAAACCCTAATCCAATCTCTCATCTCTCATCAGACCACTGCAGTAGCCACTTAACTTTCTCCACTCCCATTCTTTCCTTCTCCAGTTCATTGTCCTTACAGTCAGAAATTGGGAGAAAATATTTGCAACATATGCAAATGAGTTTTTTGTGTACAGAACTCCTATAAATCAATGTGAGAATGCCGTGTACAAAAATATAACAGTATGGAAGCTCTCATAGCTGCTAAACATAAGAAATGTTCTACTTACTTAAGATGATAGAAGCACAAATTGAAATGATGAGAAAGTATTTTGTCTATTAAATGTTAAAGAAATATATGCCTTATTAGCAAGGGCTTAGGGAAGAAAAAGCTCTTAAACTTTGCTAGCTGGAATTTTAAGTGGTGCAACCATTTTGGAAAGCAATCTGATAACTAACTCTAAGACAATTTTAAAGTGAAGTTAGCAGTTCTATGAATTTGTCTTAAGGTGAGAATAAGACTGTTCAACAAACGTGGATATATAAGGGTGTTTGTTGAGGCTGTTTATAGGGATGAAAGACAGAACAGCCTGACCTAGAGCACTTGTAAAGTAATAAAATTTTGGCTTATCTAGACAATGGAATTTTACGAGGCCATAAAAATGATAATGTAGAGATCTTTTTTATTTATCCTGAAACACTTTCACAATCTATTTTTTTTTTCTTTAGTGAAAGTTTAGCGATAAGTTACTAAGCAGCATGTATAATACAACTTTTTTTGGCAAAGAAGTAAGTTGAGAGGGGTGTATAGCACAGGGAAAATTCTGGAAGGCTACATGCCAGAATATTAATGTGTTTAGCTTTCAATGGTAAGTATACAGATGGTTTTAATATATTTTCATGCTTATCTGTACTTTGTTTCTTATGACAAATACTATATGATAAACATAGACATGCACACACACACAATCACTTCACTTTTTTCTTTTCTTTCTTAAAGAAAAAGCAAAGTTTTCCTCTCCCAAAGTTGAGAACTTGAACTTTGTATGTGTTGTTTTCTTCTTCTTTGAGAGCAAAGGTGTTTAAGTAAACTTAGTGGAAGGAAGTAAAAATATATTGAATCCATTTAATTGGTGTGTGGCTGTGTGTTATAGTATTTTTATTTATATATGATGTGTCATAATTCACAAAAATTTTGATATTTAAGATTCACAATAGAATGAAAAAAACACAGGTAATTATAATTATTAAATATACTGTTAATTTTAACTATTAAAAATTATTATTATTTAAAATGAGTTTTTATTTTTTAAAGTAATATATGACCACAGCTTTAAAAATACCAAAACTATTGAAGTCTAATAATAAAAATTTTGATACCCTATCTCACCTCTCTCTATCCCCAGACCTTTAAGCAAATCTTATGCTAATATTTTCACTGCCATATTTCTAAATGCTCTGCTTATATTGGTGTTTTAAAAATCAGCTGTGGACCATTTTCTGTTGCCTCCTGCTTGTGGAAGGTATGACTTAGGTCTTCTATCTCGCTGTCCCCTCCACTCCTCTTGAGCTGGCGTGCAAAAAGATTAACGTGATACTTCCACTTTCAGATGATAAAACTAATTTAGAAGGAAATGTGTTTTTCAGTTTAATGACATTGGTCCAAACTTCTTCTGGAAAGACCTTGATGCCTTTACCAGTGTTAAATGATGTTAATAGGTTACTGTTGTAGATATCCTCAGTTATTTTACCTTGTAATCTTGTTAAAAAGTTATGGAATTTGCCCTGCTGTCACCCAGTAGTTTTGGGAACATATTTGCATTGTCTGTTGAGGCAGTCTGTGTTAGGCTGTGTACCATAGCATGATTGTCTGTGACAATCACGAGAGTCTCTGTTGTGATCCATTGTAACAAACAGCTGCTTTGAAGTTCTACCACATCCACATCTGTGTTTTTGGATTTGGAATTTGACCAGTACATTTAAATGGCAGTAGCTCAGCATTCTTTAGTGTATACTTGAACAATGCTGAATCCATAGCCCATTTAAAAGACTTTAAATCATCTATATTAATATTATATAAATATATCTATAAACATAGATAATCTATAATCTGTTAAGACATTTGTATAAAATAAAACTATAATGACCTTTGTATGGAACATTCTTTTTCTCCCAGAATAATTTAGAAGAGGATGAAGATGTGGAAGTGAAATATAATATTACCCAGGGAGACAAACTACGTGCCTTAAAAAGCCAGAGACAGCCACGCTCCTCACCATCCTGTGCATTTAGGTAGATCCATTTTAAATGTGTGTGTGTGTTTTTGTTTGTTTTGTTTTTTGCAGTACTGGGGATCAAACTCAGGACCTTGCGCTTGCGAGGCAGGCATGGTGCCACTGAGCTAAATCCCTGGCCCTCCATTTTAAATTTTTAAAGTCATAGTGTGCTTCCATTTATGGATAGAACGTTTAATCTTTTCCTTCAAATACCATTCTACAAATACCAAGTTTACCTTGGATTTTTTGATTTATAACTATTTTTGTTGTTTAGTTATTATATATTTTATCAGTGTTGGAAGTAGCCTAATTTTAGGAGCTTTATTGAAAGCAACTGCTGCATTACTCTCTGTAATTCTACCTTACGCTGCTAGGCAGTTATCTCTAGTACTCATTCCAAGTTCTACTCAGAACTCTACCTTTCTCCCAGAACTGGGTTTCTAGTCCTCTGGCAAATCCTCAGAGATGTGCCAAGGATTTTGTATTGAAGCCAGAGTGCAGCAGAAAAAAATCACATGCTAAGCTTTGGTATAGCCCACTAATTCCTTGGCTTTTCCTTCCGTTTTTGAGAATGAAATAAGCGAGTCTTATGTGTACCTATTAAGTTACAAACCATCATGCTTTTGAAGTCTGCAAATACTCATCAAAATCAATGGTGGAACTTGACTTCTGACCACAGCATTTGGAATCTGCTGATAGTTCAGAGTGAGTTAAAAAAAAAAAGGTTTCAAGATCAATGTAGATGAAAAACTCTGTCAATATTAAGATTCTTTACTTCAATATATGGAGTGACAAGGCCCAAGTCCACAAAAGAATATAATGGAAACTGACTATTTTTCTTTGACTTATAAGTGAGAGACATGCACAGAAGAAAGGTTATTTTGCCTGTGTGGTAGATATCAAATGGATTCACAAGGAATTTAGTTTTCATGTGTTAGAACATTTAATTCAAACTGAATCTTCATGTACTAATTTGCTGATCTAAGAAATGAAAGTTCATATTGAGGTTATGATTTTCTATAGGACAGTGACAAAATGGGCTAGCAAGCCTGGTGCTTGGTGATAACCACCAACTACCACTACGTGATTGAGGAAGAGTACCATTTACTGAGCACCTTGCTTCTTAAAAGCATCATGGTAGCATGATGGAAGTAACTTTTTCCTCTGAGTGGATATGCTACTGCTGTTATTTCTAATTACAAAAAGCAAGATGCTATAAGTGACATTCAAATTGAAATGAAATGATTAAAATAGGTTTCCTGCTAGTAGTAAAGTAGATAAATACAAATAACCACTTGCAGGTTTGCTCTCTTTTGCCAATTTATCTGTACTGGTTTGGCTCTGTGTGATGTGCATTTTGGTGTTTCCTTAAATGTGTGACCCTGGTGTTGCTTGAGTACGTGTCTTTGATTTCTGCAGGTCAGATGATATGAAAGGACACCCAAGAGCAGTGTTCCAGCCTTTCAGGTATTGTTAACACGGTTGAATTTGTAGCATCTTGTAAATAAATGCATGCTATCTTTTAGACACAAGCTGATGAAAATACACTGTGCACAGCTTTTAGCCTTTGAAGTTCCTCCCTTTCTGTTCTAGATAGTTGTAATACCCTTTATTTTTAATGCTCACGGTGCAGAGGGTTTTGTTTTCCTGACATGCGCCCTAGGCTTTGTGGCTGTGATGATGATGTCCGTGTACCCTGTGCTCCCAGCACATTGTGGGGTCTCTAGCAAAGTGCAGGTGCTCTGCAGCTTTCCTCTCAATGCCAGGATAGGGTTTGCCTTGATTGTTTTTCATTCAGTTTGTCCTCTTTCCCATGTTTTTGTATGTTATTAGTTCAACTCCTTTATTTTGTGGTCTTATTTCCTTCCCTTTCTTTTACTGGAGGAAGGAGCACTAGCTTGAAACATTAGTTGAAAAATGTCCCCTGAATGTTCTGGAGTGGTACCAGGTACTGGTGGTGCCAGAATCCAGCCCATTGGGCGTGGTGAGAGGAGTAGAAGGACTTGGCCAAGACCGTTGATGGAATAGGAGAAAGAGGCCCATTCAGTCTTTACTCCTTCATTCTTACTCATCTGAAGGTTTAAAATTGTTTAGTGCAGGCTGTTCTAAGAGGACTCAAGCTTCTCTTTAAGCTTGAGTTGCTTCTTTGTAAAATTTTTCTCATTTTTGTTTTGAGGCAGAACAGGGCATGGGCTGTTGTTAGGAAGGTAGATGATAAAGGAAAGTGTCTGCAAGCAAATCAGCTCTTCTTGAGCAATAGGAAGACAAAGTCCAGCTATTACACGATTTGTCCAGATGGGTAATAAAACCATGACTGGGCCCTGGCTATCCAGATGTGAGCCAGTGTTCACTTTGTGTCCATTTGGCTGATGGTTATTGAGCACCTGCCTTGAGTCTGGCCCTATGCCAGCCACTGGGAGTTGCCATGAGAGAAAAGGAGCTTATATGGGAGGAGGGCTATGATTTACTTTGAGAATATATGACGATGAGACGGGGCTTTCCCAGCTGTGTGAGGTAACAACTGATGAGGACGTGAAAGAGTAGGTGGTAAGAATGTCAGCTGGAGGTGGAAGGTGAGAAGGGAAGGGAGGCGAGGAGATGAGAAGATGTCCTGGCAGGAAAGACAGCACACATAAGCTGGACAAAGGTGTGAGTGCAGTCCATTCTGGAAACTATTTTGTGTGGCTGCCTTGAAAATGTCTAGTTGGAAAGAATAGAGAGTAGCATGGGCTCAGAGAGGCAAATGACAGATTGTGCTGCCAAGGAGTTTAGGCTTTATGGGCACAGAGGGAAGATTAAAATGTTTAAACACTGACATGACATGATTAGATATTTTAGATTTCACTGAAGCCTATTCATAATATGAATTATTAAATAATATGACTGAAAGATGATCCTAGTACTTGAGGATAAGAAATTTCGATGGCCTCGCCTGGGGTAGTTGCAGGGTAGAAATAAGAGGATGGGTTCGAGTGGCACCTGAGGACCTGCCAGAGCATGAGTGCCATTGGCAAGGAAGGAGAGGGACAAGGACAACAAGTCAGGGGTAAGGATAGGACTCTGAATCCTGGATTCAGCCCAGGTAACTTCAGAGGAGGGACCGTTCTTTGTGCCTCTGTCTCCTTCCTTGCCCAGCGGGGACAGTTACATTTGCAGCCTTCTGGGGTTGTGAGCGTAAGCTGAGTGAACACCTCCCAGGTTCTCGGCCAGCCTGGCACAGTTAGTACTGTGTTGCTGTTGGTGGCTGCTGCTCTCACCATTACTAGAACCTGTCATGGTTTCAGTAAGATTGGTTTATCTTGTCCTAGCTCATTGCTAAATATTTAACAGAACACAGCTTTAGTGTGACACTTTGTCCATTCTGTTCTACAAAGATCAAGTTCTTCCCCACAAGGACCTATGTCTACTTTGAAGACTCCAAAAGTGCCTCTGTCCCCTTCAGCGACAGCCAAGAGGATAAACAGAGGTTCATTGTCTTCAGGCACCAGTGTAAGAAGGTAATTTTCCTCTCCCCCTTTCAAGATGCTGGCTTGAGGTAAATGCAGGACTCTGAAACCTAGATTAACCCTCAGGTCTGTCATGTGCTAACAGGGTGCAGCAGGCAATTTGTTTGTTTTTTGTTTGGTCAGAGGAGGGGACAGGGAGAAGGGGAGAAACCCAAAAGGGTGAGATCTCCTGGAACTTCTGTTCCTATCTTGCTTGCAGAGATCAGCCTGTGTGGTAGGGAGGACCCTGTAGAGCATCCCATTCATCTGGTGAATCTCCAGCTTGCTTAATGTGATCCAAAAAACTGGAGTTCTGTAGCACATATGAATGATAAATGGTATTATCATTTCTCAGCTTCGTGAGTCCTAATGAACTGATTGGACCAAGGCATTTGATGTATAGGACTAAAGGCCACATATTGTGATGTTGCTGAGGGTGATGAAGCCATTCTGTCATCATTTGCATTGATCAGAATCATCTTCATCACATTCTCCTAATGATGCACGTATCTTAGGACTCTGCATGTCTACATTGTTGTGCATGTTTTTTTCTCCTCACTTGTTTTCTGTCCAGCTTTTCCATAAACTCCCGGCTAGCCAGTTCTCTGGGAAACCTGAATGCCACAACAGATTATCCTGAGAATAAGAAGATGTCCTCACCCTCCAAGGCAGCTTTTACAGCCAACCCGTTCACCAACCTCTTGAATGGCAGCTCCCAGCCACCGGCCAGAAACTACCCTGAACTCAACAACAATCAGTACAACCGAACCAGCAGCAGTAGCAGCAGGGGCAACCTGAGCAGCCAGCTTGCTCCCCACGGCGCCAAGACGGAGGAGCATGTCCCTGTCATCCGGCCCTTGTACACGGGGCTTTCTTCCTCTTCAGCAAGATTCCTGAGCCGGTCCATCCCCGTAAGTTCCCCGACACTACCTGTTGCTCCTCAGAATCCTGAATGCAACTTTTGTGCCCTCCCTTCCCACCAGAGGCTCTTACCAAAGAAGCTGAATAGTACCAAGGAAGCCTTCTGACTGCTGCCTCCCTCTGTGCCGTGAAACTCTTTGTGCCCTGCATTCTTCTGGCTCCTTTTTAAGTAAATGCTGAGTTTCAACTGGATTTTCTTCTGTTTTTCTACCCCTCCCTCCTTTGTAAATGATCTCTCTTAAAAGGGAAACAGCTCTTGTCTATTCATCATGAATGCTGTTGACTTAAATTCCTTTCCAGTTAAGTTTCCAGATTGCTCTGATATCTGGTACAAATCCAGTAGCTGATTGATGCAATCAATAGCATTTGCTTTACTTGTGGCAGTATTAGGAGTTCCGGCTTTTTCCACATCCTGTGTCATCAGTGATTGGATATGGAGTGTTGGAATGTGAAAAGTGCTAAGTGAAGAGTATTTTTCTAGAACTGTCAGGCCCTTGATTGTTCTACCTCTTCCAGAAACTTAACCCAGAGTTAAGTGGTAATGAGGCTGTTTATAAGATAGGTTTATAGGTAAATACTTGGGATACGAGGGGAGGAGCACGCAGAATATCAAGAAAATGATAAAAGTTAACTCTGTCTTCTAGAGACAGGTCAGAAGGTCTCCAAACACATCTTACTAATTAGATCTTTATTTAAACTACCAGGCTTCCTTTTTAATGATCAGCAGTCTCTGTTAAAGTCCATTTGCCCCACCCCCTGCTATAAGTTTAATATTTTGTTTCCCCTAAGCAGTATGGAGATCTATAGGAATATAAGTTGTAATTTGAGAGGAAGAAGGACAAGTAGAAGGAAAAGTAGATTCCATATATCAGGGAAACATGAAGCACAGTAGACACGATGATCACATTTGAGCAGGAGCAAAACCAAGTCCTGGGGAGGGAGGTTCTGGCCTGACGCCTTTCACACCTGCGATTCTGTGACCATTTCCTCAGCATCATCCAGACAGAGGCTGCTTTCTGCAGAGAAAATAATGAGGGAGGGGGAAAAGCTGGTGGATATACTGCTTGTGGCCCACTCGTCAAAACAGTAACCCGTGGTAAAAGTGAGCTGTTGGGACTCCCTGTCCTTAGGGTGTGTGTATGTGTGTACGCATCCGTGCATTGGACTCTTTATTACTCCCATCCCTATCTGGTCTCTTTTAAAAAAATTTTTCCCCTCTACCCACACACAGACCTTTCCCTAAGAGTTGTAGCACATGTAATTTTCCCCATCTCATTTGATTCCCAATGCTTTCTTCCATTATTTTAGGTTTCTTTGTAGATTAGGGTGCTGGGTTACTGTGAGCCCACTCACTCCTTAATCTGATTCTAATCTAAGTATGTAAATTGAGTAGACATGTACCATAAAAACTTCAATCTCTGTAGCTGAGGATTAGATGTAAAAGGATAATATATTTAAATTTTTCATAACTGTTTACTAATCATGTACTTCACACCAGGAATTGAGCTCAGTCAATACTGTCATACTGATTGTGGATCAGCCTCTCTTTTAGATCAGAATGCAGATCTTTACATTCTCAGATATATCTCAGTATATCTCTCTATATAATTATAGATAATTATATACATTTCTTGCAAATTTCATAGCTAAAGCCTCTGTATCATCCGCAGTTGTAGTCCAATGTCAGAAGCATTGGGCCTCCACCAGGAGTCAACATTCTACCTTTTCAGGCTCTGTTTTCCTCATCGTTGGTGGTAGTGTGGGGGCGTGCTTTAGACAAATAACGGCAACCTCCGGTGATGTTTATATAACTTAGTGTTGATCTTATCCTGTACTTTGTTACTTCTTTTCACCTTTCCTCCTCCACATCCTTCTTTTGGCTGTAAAAGGGTGTTTTTCTAATAATTGAATCTAAAGTAGTAGCAGTCTGTGTGGGCAGTTGCTGTTACACCCTGCTTCTCCCTCCTAAATCTGTCATCTTATTGTAAAGAAAAGCATTTATAAACACAACTGCTAGGGCTGGGGATTTAGCTCAGTGGTTTCACTGCCTGCTGTACAAGTGCAAGGACCCTATTTTGATCCCCTGTACTAAAACAAAAAAACGAACACAACTGCTAGCATAGAAAAATTTTCCCTTCAAAGTAGGGAGATGCAGGTCTCTATGGCAGTGGTCTCTCCTTTATCCTTGCGGGGAATCTCCTGGAATGGGGAAACTCCAAGTCCTACCCCTGCTGTCTTGCCGTTAGTGAGGCCAATGAACCTGGCAGTTCCCACTCTGTGGAATACAGTAGGAGGTTGTGGGTTGTTTTTATTTATGGTCCACTGCAGCTTTTCTAATTGTTGTGGGATTGGTGTCCAATAAAGTTGGCCTTCTTTCAGTGATGCTAAACTTGGGAGAACCTTGATCACTCAAAAAAAAAAAAAAGTTCTACAATCCTTAGGGAGGAAAATGAAGTCTGCAAGGTAATATCCTCCCAGTACCTTTAAGAAAGACCCAGAAACTCCTGGGGAAGAGGGTGACGGGTGTTTAGAGGGAGTCTAATATTTTAAAAGCTACAATTAGTATCTCTTTTGAAAGCTGCAATTGCTCTCTCACTTTTTGCAGCAGTTCAGCCCCCAGAAAAATGTAAAAATGATTTCCTTGTTCTGTCATTAAATGCTTCCACACAGAAAACAGGAATAAATGTTAAGGAATCCTTGTGGTTGTGACAAAATACTAAGAAACAGTCAGATTTTATTTTTATTAGTTTGGCCTCTTGCGCTAGTGTTGCTGTCTCCACTGCCCAGTGCAATGCACAAGATTTCATTTTTGTCAACCCACTTACTGTAAAAAGTTAGTTTCACTCCCTGACAGAGGAATTTTCAAATGCTTAAGAAATGAGGGACATGTAATTAGGGCGTGGGTGGGGTGGAAGTATTTTATTAAATTGAAATTACTTATCTTGAATACTTGCCACGTTATATTTTTATGATACTTATCATGGAGTTGCTATTCATCTCTGCTGTCCTTACCTGACCCCCAAGGCTGGGTAGGTTCCCCCATGAGCTTCTCTGTATCCCACCTTGGTTTAATTGTAATACTTTTCTCACTCTGAATTTTCATTGTCCACTAGACTGAGCTCTGTGAGAACAGAGAAGGTATCTCTGTTTTCCAAAGTTCTCAGCTTTGTGCTTGGCATAGAGGGCGCATCCAGAAGTTATTTTTTGGTTGGATAAAAGGAGGAATGAATGTTTAAATGTGATAAGAATGATTCATTTTTGTTTTAAAGATAAAAATCTTAAGGGTATGAGAGATTAGATATTTTGTACATAATTGTACTGAAAATATGCAAAAGATTTATAATTAGAACCTAGGCTAGTTTGACTCAAAAAGGTAATCAAAAATTCTTTTGATTACATGGTGTCATGTATGAACTGTTATAGGTGATAAGAGAGGGCCATGTATTGGTTGTCTCATTTTGTCAAGAACAGTCAGGGAAGGCTGTGAAGAAAGGGTAGTGTTTTAGTTGGGTTTTGTGAGGTGAAAAGGACCCTGCCAGGGATCTAGGGATAAAAGTGGAAGGGAAAGCAGGGCCATTTTATGTAGTAGGAAGAGCAAAAGCAGAGATACAGCCTTAGTACTGTAGTTAAGCCCTTAGGTTCTGAAGACAGGCAGGCCTACATTCAAATTCCACCTTAGCCACTTCCTTTTGGGAAGAAAATTGGTGATTTATCTAGCCTCTTTGACCCTGAGTAGAATGGAAATCATAATAATGAGAGGCAGAACTACATTGTGTGTGTGTATTACACTGTCATGCCTACATTGATGTCCTGAAGCTTAACCAATTTTGTGGGACTTAAGGAATATAAATACTTATTTTTTGTAGATTTTATGTAAATACATGACCATGTGCTTGAAAGAGGTTGTTGACCTGTGGAGTACTGACTCCAATGTGGTAATGATAGTGATAATAACATCTATGTAATCGGATGCTTACAATATTTCATTGAGGTAAGTCATGTGAAGCATTTTGCAGTGTTTATTGATAGCACTCACTAGCTGTTAGCTGCTACTGTTCTAAGAGCAGAGTAGTCCAGTGTAGCTAAAGCTGGGAGTTACATGAAGATGAGTCTGGAAAGTTAAGCTGAAGCCCAAATGGAATGTGCACTGGGAACCCTGGGAGTCTGGGAAGCAGGAGTGACTTGGCAGGTCTGATGTGTGGAAGATGACTGGGAATCGTGTGGTGAAGCTCTGGGTGGAATGCCCTTCAGCTCTCTCTGTTGTCCTCACTTTCTGCCTGGGCAGGTGTCTATACAGAGATGCTATTCTTATTTAATGATTATTCTGGGTTTCAACACACATCGTAGTATTGATACTAGTAAATAATTGTATGCAGTATGATAAAAATGACAAATGTTTAAAGTGTTAAAAACATTACAGTAAAAGACATGTTGCTGTTAATTCTTCACAAAATACCCCCCCCCCCTTACTTTGAACACACTTATCCTGTCATTCTTGTCATATTTGGAAACAGTTCTAGAAGTCTTCTTTCTTAGTTGCAGTGTCAGTGATGCCTTGATGTCTTGAATCGACTTAACATGCTTACCTTTCTTCCATGGTCACTTTGACTTTGGGGAAGAGCCAGAAGTTGCACCATGCCATATCTGGTGAATAAGGTGGATGAGGACGTACTGTAATACTTTTTACAAGTCCCTATTTTCATTGGATGGCACCTGGCAGCAGCATTCACTGTATTTTTTATCACACTCATGGAAAAGGGTTTCCAGAACTGCTTCAGAAAGTAGCAAGAGTGATAGGATGAGTCTGTCTAAAGGGAAGTGGAGTGTTTTGAAGGGTAGTGATGGCAATGTGTCTTTGTTGTAGTAACTTAACAAATTTTAAACATTCATTCTTTGATCACACCTTGTGTATAGTCAGTAGTGCCAGGATATTTTTATTATAAATTTTAAATGATATTTTGATAAATGAAAACTACCTAAAGAAAAATTATGGTCCTTCATAGGTACCTTTTTATAAAATCTGAGCATAGGGGTTTCGAAACAATGTACTTTCTTATAGAAAATAGTCAGTTTGGTTACCAGCAATTTTTGTCACTTCTATTTTGTGGGTTATACTTTTGTGATTTAAAAAAATTATTAAATAGCCTCCATTAGGTTTTGTCATTCTTGCTTGTATCTTAACTTTTGAACATTTCTGGGAATATTCTCATGGTAAAGGCTGTCGGTTATGTCAGTGATGCCACTATTTCTTGAAGCATTCCCATTCCTCTCTATTACGCTGTTTCCTCATCCCCTTTGTGTGTGCTTGCACCTTTGATAATTTTCCTAATTCAGTCTCTTTCCACCTTTAATTCACACTGCAGAGTAGGGCTGGCAAACTTTTGTTAAGGTGGAGATGGTAAATATTTTGGCTTTTGTCCTAATTATTCATCCCAGTGCCTAAATGAATGGTGTGATAATCCATTGCCACATAATACTGATTTTGGTGTTTTATTCACCTATTCAGAAATGATCAGTGATAACAGTACTAGAAAGAAATCCTAAATTTCTCTGTAGAACTTTCAGGCCCTTCATATCGTGTTCTCTAGTGTATCTACGCACATGCACTTACTGTCTCCAAACACTGTCCCCTTGTCCTTGTCCCACGCTATGTTCTCACCTGCTCCTGGGTTGGAAGCCCCCTGCCCTTTTAAAAAATTTGTTCTCATCTTTAAAGACATTTATGATCTTCTCTCTCCTCTGCGAAGCTCTTCTTGATAAACTGAAGCCACCCAGTGTTTCCCTTTTTAACTTCTGTTTCTATCTATGGTGAATACTTAGTATTTCATTTTGATTCATGTATAGTGTTGCCGTTACATACATGAACATCAGAATTTATTATGTATTGTTCATATATGCCACATTGTCTCCAGATTATAAACTTACTCTGTGTAGACATTTCATAAAGTCATGTCATAGTTTCTAACACATTACCAGACGCAAAAAGGAATAAAAAATTAAAATACTCATTTGACTTGAAGTTGAAAGGAAAATTGAAGTTAAGTAGTCTGTATTCCTTACTTTTCCTTCACATTCTTAGACCACGGTCAAATCTGGCTTAAATGTAGTCCTCTGCTCTTGTGCTGGTGGCTATTCTAATACTTAGCCCTTTCTGGGTGTGAAGACTGTGCATCAGTTCTCCCTCCCAGGTGTGACCAGTGTAAGAATAACTTTGCTGGCCCATGAATAGGTTGAGTTCTTCTATATTCTAATACCAAGCAGTA